TCTTTTTATCCCACAACTTCCTTTCTCCTGATTATTTTACCACTCACACTAATGGCAAGACTTTCAAGAAAATACGAAAGAAAAAGCCGAAAACGTTCTTGTCAGTTTATGATGTAAGAAAATATTTAACCACTGCTCCAACCATTTGTCACTTTAGAGAAAGATTAACCTTTGTAGAATGTTCTTGGATATTCCACTCTTCTTCTATGTGACATCTCCCTTCAGAACATGGGCGATCGTGGCTCTCCCCAACTTCTTATCCTTTGTAGTTCTAAGTAATATTTATCTCTTTACTATCCCTCCCAGGTCATGTTCTTCCATTCGAGATCATTAAGTTGATCATAGCTCTCCATAACTTCCTATCCTTTGTAGTTCTAAGTAATCATTGTCTTCAAAATATCCCTGCCATTCCATTCACTGCCATACATTTACACAAGCTTTTTAAGTAAGTTGATCAAGGCTCTTCACAACTTCCTATCCTTTGTAGCTCCAAGCAATCTTTGTATAATCCTTCCTATTTCATGTTCTGTCACTCATTTTGATGCTTAAGTAGGTTACTCAACCTTTTCTCCTGTTGATTCAATTTATAGGAATGACTGCTGAGAACATCCTCCTCCCCAAATTTATAGATGAATGCTACAGATGCATGCTGGGATTTCTTCCTAACCAATAAAAATGGAAAATTCTTGGTCGTATCATTTTTGTTTTTTCTTGTCTTGAAATCAGAATGCTGTAATCATTTGACTGTATCCCTTTTTCAGTAAGGACACCATTCTTACTTTGTGGATTTTTTTTTCCTTATTACTATTGCTTCACCTACTTTTTACTTCCATATATAGTGTTTGCTTAGTTATTATTTTTTTCCTTATTGTTTATTGTGAACTTTGTCAATTCCACTTGTTGAGAATTTTGTCAACTACACTTAACCATGGCCAATTACTCCACATCTCCTCTTGCCTTCAGTATCTTTTGTGAGTATAAAATTCTCCAAGCCTTCCTTCCTCCTTATGTCTTCCAGAAATTTTAACTGTCTCTTCCTTTCTTTAAAACTTCCTCTTTGTTTTAAGTTTTATGTTCAGTCAATGGTATTCTCATCATACTTTTGTAGAATCACATCTTCATTGCCTAAGGTCTCTTCCTTCTGTTTGAGGAAATTGTCCAGCATTCACAACCATATAGAAGGACTGATATTACACAGCAGCTCTAAGAACATTTTTCTTGTTTCTTAATACTTTGCTTAGATTTTCGGAGGCTTCATTAACTATTCCAATAAGCCCTTTGATGTTTCTGCCATATTTTCCATTCCTAGTGTTCCTGATAAAATTATTTGTTTGTTTTATGGCATATCAACTACTTATGGGTGATTTAAAACCAAAATTAAACTTTCTGGGGAACCTTCAAGTAATAAAAATGTGATATATTATTCTGCTTTCACAATTGAATACATAGTAGATGATACTCAGCATTTGTGCATATGCATATTTGTGGGGTTTTTTATGTTGTAGTTTTGTTGAAGTTATATTCTGGAATACAGTTTGATTTCTTTAAGAAATTGTAGGATATTATATGGATTAACGTCATGAAAGAGCTTTTCATTATGGTTGTTTGGTTGATGTTATTTAGTGGCATATCAACCTCTATTGATTATTTAATGCCAAAATCTAAATATTTTGAATGTAATTACATGCCTTCAACTACAGATAATATGTATTGCTGGTCATTTTGCTATAAATATGTATTTTTATATTTTCATAGTGTTTTGTTTTTGTTTGGAGGTTCTCTATTTGCCCATATCTTGGACCCTAACAGGTACTACTACTTGGGGTCAGGATGGACCTGGGAACAACAGCAATTAAGAGGTGGTTCTATGCTACTCAAAACCTCCAATCTCCCAATCAAAAGCCTTGCTGCCAGTTATAATTTATCATCATACCCAGGACTAGATCAGAAAAATAATTTGAATTTTCAAAATTTCTCTTTTCATTCTATTTACAAAAGATTCTTTATATACTCTAAGTAATGCCTGATAAGATTACAAAGACTAAATTTTTTTATGTATTATATAATTGTTTATTCCCTTCTGGACCCATCAAATTAACATTGACTGACTCATGGGTATATGGTTTCGGGTCTTTCTTTGAATGTTTAATCTTCTTCAGGCAAGGGTGTCAGGAATACTCATTTATCCCCTTGTAGGTCTGTCATTTATATGACTTCCTGTCACTTGTTTGTCTTATGTGTGTAGATCCAAAATTCAGCTGGACTGATTTCCTGTTTTTGTTGCTGCACCGAGTTTTTGAGGCCCAGTTTAGCACTTGATGGCTCTGAGGTCACCTTCTAGATCAACCTTTGGGGCTCCTAGATCTTTTGATACCCTCCAGTGAACCCAGTACATATAGGGGTCACTTCTCAGATCAAGGTTCCTAATGGACATTAAATTCAATTCAAACCTTTAATATTTCATAACATGAAACATATACTACTGTCTAGTTCTCAACTTCTTTTAGTCGCAAAGTGGAATATGGTAATAGTAATGATAATATCAGCCATTTCCTTACAAGGAAACATTTAACATTCATTGACCGAGCAGCCAGTCCAACTTTCAGTTGAAATTTATAAAATCTTTTTCTGGAAATAATTTTTTCAGAAGAATAGGTTTCTCATATTCAGTTACTGTTATTGCTCATTTCAGAATTGATGGGGGTTTCCTTCCTAACTTTTTGTTTGAAGTAGTGTGGAATGTTAACATCTTTGACCTTATTTTCTCTTATTTGGTGCAGTTCTTTGTTTGTGATTGTGTAGTGCCAGTCCATACATTTCAAAGAAGGATGGTTCTCTCTAAAACCTTCAGGGCTCATTTTCTTAAAGCAATTTTGACCATTAATCTGAGAAAGCAGTTGTATACAGCTACCAGTTTAGATATTTCTGAAGGTGTCTGGCACTATATATGACATCCATACAAAAGTATCAATCTGACGAGGCTATTTAAGAACATGACTCTAGTTTTCAGGTTGATGTTTTGTTTTGTAGAAATTTGTAGCCTTGGGCTAAACTACCTCTCTTAATTGACAAACACATTTTAGTTTTATAGTTGGAATAAGATAATTTTGTTTTATTTACAAAGTAGCATCCATGAGACAATCTGCTTTACATTTCTGTTTTTAAATACCTGAAAAAGTAATTTTTTTTTTTGCGGGGAGTGCTACTGGTTCCAATAATGGTAATGGTATATTAGCTGTTTCCCTACAATAAAACAATTGGCATTCGTTGACCGAGCAGCCAGTACTGTTTTCAGGTGAAATCTATAAAATCTTTCTCTTAAAACAATTTTTCAGGAAAATAGATTTATCAAGCAGAGTAGCTAGCATCACTCTTTCCAGTATTGATGGCAGTTCCTTTACTAACCTTTTATTTGAAGTAGTGTGGAATGTTAACATCTTGATTATATCAATATTTTCTCTTCAGGTGCTATCCATTTTAGTTGTTGCTTCTGTTGATAGTCCTAAAGTGATGTGGTTTTTATTATTTGGTACAGTTCTTTGTGATTCTATAGTGCCAGTCCACAATTTTCGAAAAAGGATGCTCTTTACCAAGACCTACAGGTTTCACTCACTCAAAGCCATTTTTAATCATTGATTTTAGAAAGTTATTGTATATAACTGACAGTTTAGATATTTCTGAATGAGCTTGGTGCTATGTATGTCATCCATATGAAAGTCTCAATCTGACAAGGCTATGACTCCAGTTTTCATTTGAATGTTTTGGTTTTGCATCACTGATACACGTTTAGTATAATGATAGACAACAGAAGATATAACAGAAATCTAAAGATAAAGATGTGTTTATATATATATATATATATAGTCATCCACAGACTGTTTCACTGTATCACAGCTCATCAGTGTGGCTAGACATCCAATTGCCTCAAGCCAAGATTGAAACCCAATTAATTTGACATCAGTCTGAGATTTTCCCCCTAAGCTATCAGCTTCTGGCTGAGAGGAAGGTGAATTTTTACATATTTATTTTTGAACAAACACACCATATATATAAGAAAGAGTGACTGTGCAATATATTTATATTTTTGTTGGGGTTTAGGAGGTATGGGGAAGGGTGGCCAAGTTAAGAGCAGCACACACTCTCACCATGCCATTGCCCATAGATTAAATAAAGGGTTCAATTTGAAATTTTATGAAGATTGTTTAGAGTGATAGATGCCTGAAGAAGGCCTGATTGTACAATGGCCAAAATGTTTTAATATTAGCAGCACAGATGAGGACATCTGTTATGTAAAATGTATCATGCATCCCTTCTTTCCCACTTGTCTATAAAACTTCTTTCATTCTTCATCATTATCTGTCTATATTTCTGAGATGAGGTACATTATTTGGACTATTGTCCTTATCTTTGTCACCATATTTATTACATTTCGGCCATTGTACACTCCAGCCTTCTTCAAGTGATTGAAATGTCAAAATGAACCCTTTATTTCACTCACTGGGGTAGACTGTTCTAGTTCCACATGCCATGTTTTTAATGGATGTCAGTTATCAGTTATCTCCTGTTAATTTCCCTCTGAAAGTTCTCCGCTGCCTTAACCTGGTATTGAACTCACACTCTTTGGGTCCTGGATCTAACCAATGCCTTTATCCACTGTGCCATGTCCTTGAGGACATCTGTGTATGAATTTCTGGGTATTATAAACCTAATGTCTTCAGCAACCATTTTTACCAGTGCTCATATTGCAATTTTTGCTGTTATCATTTATGTTTTTACCGAAGCTCATATTGCAACTTTTTGTTATTATCACATTTCTCTGGCACTCCTTATTACTGGTTCCTATATTGTATTAATTTCTATGCTTGGTTGGCTCAGATTTTGTGGCCTAGCATATGTGCTGATTCCTTAAGTTTATAAATATTCCAATGATGTTGTTTACCATTCTTCACCATGTTCATAAAAATCTCAAATTTGTACCTTTTTTTTTTTTTTTTTTTCAGATGTTATGAAATTGAAGCCACCTTTCCAGTTGAGTCCCTTCTCTCAGTGCAAGTCTATGACTGGGATCTTGTGGGACTAGACGATCTGATCGGAGAAACAAAAATTGATTTAGAGAACCGATTCTACAGCCGTCATCGAGCAACCTGTGGTATTGCTAAGAAGTATGAATTGTAAGTAAGCCACTAATTCTTTTGAACTAACACAAGCGCATGCATGAAAAAGGAGCTGTTTATTTATCTTTTTATTTCAGAATGATGAAGAAAGAACATAAATTGCCTTAGAAGACCTCAAAAGAGGTGACAGCGTTAACAATTTTCAAGACAACAAATTGACAAAGTGGATGAAAGATGAGGTGGAGATAATTAGAAAGAGATGAAGTGTAAAAAAAAGAGACACACAAAGGAGAAGGAAGATGTAAGAATAATGAAGATAGGAAAGAAAATAGAATGGTGAGGAAAAGGGAAAAGAAGTTAGTGAAATGTTCTTGGAATAAAAAGGGAGAGTAAAGATGAAAGTGGAAAAGAAGTAAAGGAAGGAATGAATGAAGTATTAAAAAAAGAGGGACATAGAAGAAAAGGAAGAATGAAGATGTAAAAATGACAAAGAGAAGAGAGAGAAAAGAAATTAAGGAAATTTTCTAGCATGTGGGGTGTGGGCAAAAAAGCATAATAAAGAGGATGGAAAAGAAAGAAAAAAGAAATTAATGAAACATTCTTGGGATGAAAAGGGGGGTAATAAAGATGTAAAGGGAGTTAAAAGAAAGGGAAAAGAAATTAACAAAATGTTCTTGTTATGTCTTCATAGTCAGGATGCGATCAAATTTCAACAGAGTTAGCAGTGCAAATAATTTAAAAAACAAAAATCTTTTCATCTTCCAAATGAAATGAAACTAAAATCTTTTATTTTCTCAAAGAAGGGTCCGACTCAGTTGCTTCTTGCTTTGTTTTGCAACATAAAGAACATTCTTTTTAGTTTCTTGATAACATATCTGCAGTTTTGATATTATTTTAAATCCTGATAACAATACAGAAAGCATATCTTTTCTAAGAAAAAAAATAGATTGATAATTCTATCTATCTGATTGTTATATTCCAATTCTGGTTGGATGGGAGAACAAAGGAAAATGACAAAGTATCACTAAGATAAAATTCTTTGTATTACCCATATAGAGGATCAAGCTGGAATGTCTGTGGGTGTGGGAAGTGACTTAGAGGAAGGGGAGAGTCAGTAGAACTGGGAGTTGACGCATGTGTTGTTTTGGTTGACCAAAGTCACTGATCATTCGACAGCTTGATCATTTGCTGCAACTCTGCTTCAGTGTTGTGAGCAGTGTCCTTAAAAACCTACAGGGTGGATTATGACTCATGCCTTTTGATTTAGTGACACTGTTCATAATTGACTCCTTTTATATTGTATTTTTTTTCTTGAGGGGATTTGTTTTGTGAGCAGGATGTGATGCTTGGAGCTTCTGCACAGAGTGCAACTTTTTTAATTTTCCTTTTGTAGCATTTACATCTGGCTGACAGGTTTCAATGTAGCATGAATCAAAAAGAGATCTACACTATTTATATTATTCGGACTATTGTCCTCATCTTTGTCACCATATTTATCACAACATTTCAGCTGTTGTACACTCCGGCCTTCTTCAGGTGGTTGGAATGTCAAACTGAACCCTTTATTTAACTTGCTGGGGTAGACTGTTCTAATCCCACGTGCCATGTCTAATGGATGTCAGTTATCAGTTATCTCCTGTTAATTCCCCTCTCCAAGTTCTCCACTGCTTTAACCAGGTATTGAACTCACATTCTTTGGGTCCTGTTACTGGATCTAACTAACAGCCTTATCCACAGTTGGGAACACCAGCAATTAAGAGGTGGTTCCACGCTCCTCAAAACCTCCTGATCCAGAGGCCTTACTGTTGGACATAGTTTATTGTCTTACCCAGGACATGGATGCAGTTTATCATCATACCCAGGACTCAAAATGTTTGAAATTCAGATGTTATTTATTTTTGTTAGCACTATCCATGCGATTGCAATTCTAGCACCCAATGTCTTTTTGTGAGGAGATCCCTCCTGATCCCAGATATTAAAAAAAACTGTCCTAGTTATGATGATAAACTACATCTGGCAGTAAGGCCTCTGATCTGGAGGTTTTGGTGTGCATGGAACAACCTTTAATTGCTGTCATTCCCAGGTCTATCTTGACCCAGGGTGGTAGAACCTATTAGAGTCCCAGCTATGGAAAAATAGTGAACCCCCAAATTGGAGTCAAAACACTATGAAAGTATAAAAATACAATGTAAAATGTTCCAGCAATATATTTTAATAGTTAAAAAAAAAATTACCAAAACTTCTAAAGAAAATAAAATTTTAGTATTAAATGAACCATGAGGCATTGATATGCCATTAAATAAACCAAACCAAGTATAAAAGAAATCATCCACTTGATTTAAAATGTCACCTTTTGAATATTATAAGATCTCCTTTGGCTTGATTAAAAGACATAAATTCTGTTTCATTTATATGAAATCCAATTTGTTCTGTAGAAGATTCTAATTTGCAGAGAAATAATTCCCTGTCGAACATTTCCAATTCTCATGTTTTCTCGCGCTGATGCACCAAAAGTCTTGGAGAAGATGCCCAATATCATGTCAGATCATGTCTATCCTGGTGAAATGTTGCAATGATGTTGCCACAACGTCACAAGTGATTTAATAACCTCTGAGGAGATGTTGAGCCATGTCTATAGCTCATTGATAATTGCAGATGCCGGAATCTTTTGTGCAAATAGACCTCTTCACTTCCTTCCATAAATAATCAATTGGGTTCAAGTCAAATGAACCTGATGGGTGCACCACATATTGGAAGTAAATAGAATGCTCAACAAACCAATTCTGGGTAACTTGGGCTGAGAGGACATAATGCATTTCCCTTTGCTGGAATAGGCCATCATTGTAGGTGTATATAGAATCTATGAATGACTGCAAATGAGGATAAAGCAAAGCAATAACTCATTAATGATGAATCTATGCAGACTAGCAGACCTAACCCAGGCCATGCGAATACACACTATGCAATTATGAAATCACCAACAGCCTGCAATCTAACTGGTTGATAACTAGAGTCTTATGGCGTCTACACCTTATATCCAAAACCCTAACACCAGCTTTAAGCAACTGGGAATTATGACTAATCACACCATTGCTAGTAGAATTTACCCGGCTATAGATTAAATAACAGGGCAAACTGGGATCTCTAGCCTTGATTGGTAATCAGCTAAGGAGAAAGACAACATGGAATTCAGAACCAGGTTTAGAATACCCAGCTGTAGGTAAAATGATTTAAAGATGTCCAGATTTAAAAACCTCTGGAGTGATGTTGAGCCATTTCCTCTTGGCAGCTGTGGAAAACACTCTGATATTTTCAGTTTCAGAATCTTTTGTGCAAATAGATCTCTTCACTTCATCCCATAAATAACTGATTTGTTTCAAGTCTGATGAACTTGGTTGCAGCACTATATATATATATATATATATATATATATATATATATATATATATATATTTTTATTGAATTCATTGAGTCTGATAAAACCTCAACAGGAATAGAGGAAGCACTGGACAGCCGTTTCATCCTATAATTGGGACTCATCAGCAGTGCGCATCCACCACCGAGTATCGAAACCCTGACAGTTGGGTTGTCAAGCGAACAACATACCAACTGTACCAAATGGGCCTCGGTAATGAAGAGATTCCAAATCAGACTCAACTTAGCACCGCTCGTTCACATATTCCATGGCGGAACTCGACTGAGTTCTCTGTAACCATAGGACTGTGCCCCCAAAAGCCAAGACTCCTCACCAAGCCGCGCCAACTGGAGCATTAGAAGCCGGTTCAAGCGATGATAAACACAGATAGTAATTAGTAGGAGGATTTGATAATTATATTTTAATTAATTCATTGAGTCTGATAGAAACCTCAACAGGAATAGAGGAAGCACTGGGCGACTGAATTGGTTTGTCAAGCATTTATATATATATATATATGCTTGACAAACCAATTCTGGGCAACTTAGGCCAAGTGAACATGATGCAGGACTAATCCATCATTGATAGATTACATGATAATAGTTGTGCTTGTTCAAGAGCATTGGCTGCAAGAATTAGATCATCTGCAAGATGTGTTTGTATGGGTGATTTTAAGTATTATCTCTTTTTTCTTTTACTAATGTTCATCCAGTACAAGGCCCAAGAGATACTCAAGATAGAGGTTTACTGTGTGGTGTTGTATGAGCATAAGAAAGGGCAAGAATTTTAGTTCTAGGAACTATGCTGGAAAGATTACAGCTCACTCTAGACTTGACACGATCAAGATTTAATCAGCAAATAAAATTTCAGAGTTCAGTTGAAGAGGTTAGAAATATAGTCTAGAAGTAGACTTTAGAAGGAACTGGAAACCCAATCCTAAAGAGGAAACAAGGTATAAACCTCTACTCCTGTTCAAAAGACCTGGTTGGAGTGTTAACCAGATTGTACCTTTTGGCAAGGTTGTATCCTCTTCTACATTTGGGGGGGGGGGAACTCCCACCATTAAGCTAAATGTGTTTTAGACTACTCTGACATGAAAGACTTCACAACAAAAAAGGTACAATTACACCTTTTAAGAAGTGAACATCTCTTGTTAAGACCTTTTGTAGCCCATTACAAAAAAAAAAACAAAAACACTTCAGTGAACGTCATTTATTTGTACTGACTCTATCGTCAGTTGGTTTCATTGGTAACCAAATCTCCGTATTTCAAACCATGTCAATGGATATTTCCATTTGGAAAGTTGCCATTATTTTTTTGTATTTTTCTCATATCAATTTTAAGCAAAATTGATCTCTTGGGAAATGTTTAATGGTAAAGTTTCAATAAAACATTATCAGAAATAATCTGTTAGGTCATAAATATTGTTTCTTTTGCCGTATATCTTTTTATACTAATGTTCACCCAATACAATGCTCAAAATCCACTCTAGGTAAAGGGTTATTGTGTGGTATTGTATTATCTTAGGAAAGTGTTCGAAGTGAAGTTCTTGAGGCTATACAGGAAAGATAACTGCTAACTCTAGACTTGAAGAGGTTCAGATTTAAGTAGTGAATAACTTTTAAGAGTTCAGTCAGAGACATTAG